CGCTTACTTCTCAGCCATCCTGTATGGTTTGAAAATTTCCAATTTATATCACTTATAAATTATGAAGGTAACAGCCGCGAATATGAAGAAGGGCAGATCTGCCCTCTATCCGAAAATTCATTACGAAATGTCATCAAATCGTAGTCTTCGAGAAATAAAATCGTTATGTTTAGAAGAACTGCTTGTTAGATAATCTACTGTTTGAAATAATTGTTGCCCCGAATACCGGCTTGATAAATTTAATAGCTAGTGTAGCCGAGATAGTCGGCAATCTTTCCTTGGAAAATTTTGATATTTTAACTTGATATTTTTCAGATACGTTTAGAAACAGTGACCAAAAATCGGTTTGCAAGGTGAAAAAATCCAAGTTGATAAAGAGTTTTAAAGTATTTTGGAAAAACGACAGATACACGATTTCCCATACCTGCTCAATATGATGCAATAATAAAAAACAAAACCCATTAGTTATGAAATCTTTATTAGACAAGGTCAGAAAGAATGAGTCTATTTACGTAGTTGAAATAAAGTACTTCTAATAATAGACACAAACTTTGCTTGTCATTCAATAATAAATAATCACATTTATCACGAGTATAAATATGGGAGAAGCAGATAGGATCCTCAGTTGAAACAGCGCGGGGGAAGAGAGTATATTTTTTACGAGTTCATTGTATGTTGTCAAAGCAAGTGTGGTAAAATGGTGCTATCGATCGAAAGATTTTCTGGAAAAGTGGCTGTCGTTACTGGCGCTTCTGTAGGAATAGGTGCTAGTATTGTGGAAGAATTAGTTAAAAGTGGGATAATAGTAAGTTTAGACTTAAACGAACTGGTTCGTTACATGTCAGACATTTTATTAATTAATGCATTTATGCAAAAATTAGAAGACTAGAGCTACTTTGTCTATTTATTTGAAACTTGATCATTGAAATTTTATATATTACTATTTTCAGGTAGCTGGATTAGCAAGAAGAACTGAAAATGTTGAAAAGATTGCACAGAAACTTACTGGACAAAAAGGAAAACTTTATGCCTTTAAATGCGACATGACGGTAGAAGCGGAAGTCATCGCGACTATCAAACAAGTAATTGCAAAATTGGGACCAATTAGCATTTTAATTAATAATGCGGGGCTCTCGCTAAGTACATCTCTGCTTGGAGGTGATGCCGAAAAATGGAAAACTGTTCTTGGTAAGTGGTCTAAGGTCTGGAAAGCTTAGGAATTTTTACATAATTTGAATAATTTCCTAGTGTTACATTACGGTAACTGTCTGTTGCTATTTCAGATACAAATATCCTGGGCCTCTGCATTGCCACGAGAGAAGTGGCTCAAAATATGATAGCAAATAAAACGGCAGGTCACATAATTCATATCAACAGTGTTCTTGGTCATCAAGTAGTTGACTTTCCCGGCTTAAACGTATATGGACCGTCTAAATATGCAGTTACTGCGCTCGCGGAAACATTGAGATTGGAGGTTAATAGAGAAAAACTGCAAATTAAAGTCACAGTAAGTAACGACAAGTCGATTTTTATTTAAAAACATTTAACCTTTGAAAATATACTTGAATATAACATTGTTGACCTAATCTTTTCACAATTTATAAAAATTACCATTACACATATAGATAACATGATTAAATCTCAGAAATCAAACTAAATGATTAATAATTTTTCTTTACAGAGCATCAGCCCAGGTTATGTTAAAACAGATTTCCAATCTGTATCTGGTGTGGGAGATCTACCAGTACCTCCACTTCACCCTACAGACATTGCCGATGCGGTTATATACGCTTTATCAACACCGCCTCATGTAAATGTAAGTAAATAAACATACTATCAAATGTGTAACTATTATTTTAAATTTCTAAACAGTTTGAATCGATATAGACAGCAAATTCCCACCAGTAAAATAATACTATTTTCAGGTTTCAGAGTTGACCGTTCGAGCAGTGGGAAGCTAAATGTGCACCAGTTATAACACCAATGCTAGTTATATGTTTTTGATACAATTAATTAAGTTTTTGTGCAGAATTGATAAATAAAAATTAGCAACAAACAAGAAATATTTCGTCGCATTTTTATTGTTAATAACAATTTTACGTAAAACTGCTACTAAAGCCCAGAAAAGTTAGAAAACCCAGATAATTTTTCATACTAGTGGGTGGGATAATACTAATACTTTCAATACTATGAAATTAAACTTGAATCCAAGAAATTAAATTCATATTTTCTGTGCTATAGTAAGTTACATATTGTAGAACATATGGGACTCCTCTTTTATCGTTTTAATCCTTATTAGATCCGACGCACCAAACCGCGTAAATCAATTTTGCTTTGCAACGCTTAAGTTTTACTGCATGACAGCAAAATAATGAAAGCACTTAAGACGCCTTGAGTACTTGCTAGTGCGTATGTGGGACAATCCTTTGTCGATCTTGATAAAAAGGAAACACTTCAATTTTTCAAATTTATGCTAGTAAGATACCCATTTGACAATAAAAATAATTATTTGATTATTTTAATAAAATTGAAATCTGAAATATTCTCAGATCTGAGCAAATGTTTACAGAACTTTTTAAAATTATAGAAAGCAACTGATATGAAATTTTGAAACTGCTGTTCAATAAAATCCCAAGAAAACCCCCCCTTAACATCGCTATACTTAAAAAAGCAACTAACTCCCTAAGCCTATAAAAAAAATGTTTGAAGTCAAATTGATGTTCTTCAAAAAATGAGAGTAAATAAAAAAAAGATGAATGAATGCAGTTTGAAAAAATACACGTCTTCTGAACCGTTTATTATACTTCGAAGCAACGACATTTTACCTCCATCGGAAAAATTCTGCACATTATGAACATCCAAGTAACACTGCTTGACAGCATAAAGCAAAGGAAACTTGAACGCTTCGGCCTCATGTTAGAGAACCAATTGAAATATCGAATTCTGCAATTAATTTTCTTTTGGAAATAAAACCCAGAAAGAAATGAATTGCTTTATTAAACAAACCGAGAAAATGATTTGTTGGCCGTAGAATTATCGATCATATGAGTCAATAAAATCACTGAGTCACTGAGTCAAGACAAGATTCCTGTATGTAAGTTCAAAACAACGTATATAAATAATACAAATAACATCTAATTTTAAAGCAGCTTCAATAAAATTGCCAGTGACTTTGCAACCACAACATATTACATGCATATTTAGTAAAACAAAACATAAAATTATTTAAAAATGATCTAGTCAAACTATGCTCTAACAAAAATATGTAGAGATGCAATGTAGACGAATGCATTGCATAATTTGCCAAATACCAAACAAATCTATTCAGTAATGAAACCATTCCATGTCGTTCAAAATAGGTTGGTTACATAACAAATTAAAATAAAATTAGCATCTGCAAGACCACCCAGCCGTACAACTAATTAAAAAAATTACCAGAATCTCGAGGCCATAATTGATCATTTGCTTACGTAACCGAATTAACGCTGTTGATAATTTTCTTAGACAGAGGAGATTGCGAAAACGGATAATATGCGCATTATGTTTTACATGGCGAAGTGTTTATTTTGAGAATACAATACAAGACTAAAAAAAAACAACTAGACGACATGATTGAATATTTCCACATTTTTCAAGAAAATCAGATAAAGATTCTCATGATAAATAGTATCAGAAAAAGTGTCTGGAACTGCATAGATCGAAAACGTAATAATAGAAGTTGAAAGATTAAAGTAATTAAATCACAATGCATTTTCGATTTTTTTTATGAATTTGAAATGTTTGCATCCACTTGAATAAACGCGACGTCCTATATAATTTAACTTCCTTCTGTTCTTCCTTTCTGTTGGTATTCACGTTTTTCACACCAAATGCTATTCAAATACTATCGGCGTTCAAATCTAGGACAATGTTTACGAATTTTTCTATGCGTTTGAATATCATGCATTGTAATTCAGATTGTTTAAAACTTTTGTGCTTTATTAAAAAATTTATTAAATTAGGAATGTCAGACGGGCTATAAATTTGCCATGTGAATGCCAAGCAAAAACTTTTTGAAAAGAAGTTATAAAAATTATTAAGGGCAACATGCAACTAAAATGTAAATTAATGAAATTCTAGCCATTTAAATTAGCAACAATAACATTTGTTACCAATTACCTCCCTATTAACAACATATATTGGCTAAATTAGAGAAAAAGCAAATATGTGGCCGGCGCTACAACAACAACCGACCGGATCGCCCGTTATTTGGAAAGGTAAAAGAAACATTTACTCTGTTGGGTAAACAAGCGATTTTTTTATTGCTTAAGGGGGGCTCTCTACAAATATGTATTATACTTCCGCAGCAAATAGATTCAACCCCCTGGCCAAGTTTAAAATGTACTTTTATGAAGATAATGTTATAAAATATTTACTTAATGGTTTATTGGATCCAATTGTTTTATGTAGCTTCCTTGTAGTTTTTTCATAAATTTCCGTACATGTTTTGTTTCCGTAAAAAATAAACGATGTATATGAAATCAAAACGGAAAACCTATGGAATGTTTATTGATCAACCAATTCACAACACAATTATTATGGAATGCTTATTCTCTCAAAATGTAGCTATGGTTCCCAAAATGCTCTGATGGGTTTAATTGAGAATGCGTCGCGCGTGATAGGTACTCTTCGAACTGTTAATGGAAGATGAGGAGCTCGTGATTTCGTTCAGACTCAAACCGTTGATTGAAAGAGTATATAAGGATACGCCCCTTGCATCACCACGTCCCTCCCAAGAATATACTATGTAAATATACTCTTCAATCAACGCTTAAACTTTTACTTCCTTCTTATTTATGAAGGGCTTTGCGCCACATTCAAATCACTGGTTACAAAGTTTAAGTAAACAGTTTTCAGGAAATAGTGCTACTTTCAAACGTTATTATAAGCTTCCAGCAACTAGTTTTTGTTAATTTCGCTTTTCAAATTCAAAAATTATATGCATAGGTACTTGGGCTTTGTTAAGCTTAATCGATCAGCAACGACGTACTGTTTCAGGTTCTTATCGGTCATTTATTCGCTTTAATTAACGCCGTTTCAAGCCGTTTATTTCCGGTCTCGTTATTTTCCCTGATACAAATCAAATTCATTTGTAAAAAAGCCCTCGTTTATCTGGCAAGCATCAGCGTATCCCATTAAGTATTCAACGAATTCAAAAACGTTTAACTTGCAGATCAGGTTATTGTTGGCTCTGTGTCATCAAAATGCAAAACAAAATGCCTTTTCAGTGTGTTTCGCGACCCCAACTGCAAAACAGCACCAATATATTTGACTGAGCCAGAAACAATATTTCATTTGCATGGAAGAACGAATATTATCAGGAACTTAATTCTACAATGAATTCAATACATAATTTCCGTTGAATGATAAAGACGGCGAACGTCTGGATTATGAATTTGCATTTTGGAGAAAGGAGTTTCGTCTTGGTGATTAAGAGGTTCTGTTGTTGTAATTACAAACAGATCAACAAAACAATAAATTTACATCGTTGCTTTGAACAACTTGTTATTCTATTACTTCAGATTTTTTAAAATTTGGACAAAGTATGCCAAAAGAGAATGATAACCGTAATGTGTTTTAATGAAACATTCGTTATTTTAAGATTTAGATTAACTAGAACAAAATTATGAAAACGAAAAGGATTAAATAAAAAAAAAACCAAATGATAAGTTTTTATTATATTATCCGGACCCGGATTTTATTATAAGACTCAAAAAACTTCCTACATTGTCGTCTAAAAAATCGTTTAAGATACGTCTGTCTATGATAAAAGTAAACACATTGGAAAAGTGAGTATGGCTCTGGTTTCCAATCCATTTTAATCTTCTAATTTAAAAAAGTGTCAGATTTCGGAAAGGAATACAGCGCGTGAAATAGAAGCGAAAAATAGTATTATTTTGTCCAAAATTTTTGTGAACTGATGAAAGTGCCCTTGATGATACTATTTGAGTGCGAAGCAGTTCGATAGAGCAGAGAAAACTCTCGATAACAATCCATAGACCGTTGATATAAAATATAAAAAACGAAACCGGATTTTTTGGAAATTGTTTTAAAATAGTTGGCAAAACAGCAGTTGCTTATTACCCTAATAAAAAGTACATAAGTTTCAAAACACAAAAACTTTTCCCAAGATAATTAGCAAAATTAATACCGAATCTTCATTTATTGAGCAACGCGATTTTAATTAATGATTGTAGAAAATATGTTTTAAAGATGCGACATTTAATTGAATATTTGCGCCAAAGAAACTAGATTTCAAGTTCTAATCTGCTTAGTACACAATAAATAAGAATATCATTATTGATAATAGTTCCAATTGAACTTAGGCAATAACAATGATTAGACGGTTATTCACTAAATTACTGTTGATCAGTTGATTAATAAAATAATTAACTGATTGTATACAATATATCGAACTGTCAACAACAAATCAGAATTAAATGGACTTTCTGATAAAAATTCCAGGGAAAGAGTGCTATTCCTATTAACTGTTAAAAATTGTGAAAATTCACCATTTGATGATCAGAAGCGACGCTTATCAGCAGTTTCCAGTTGAATGCCGCTTGATGAAATTTGTAAACAACGTAACATAATTACCCGAGCTCAAATTATGCATATTCCTATATAAAAGTATTTATACGGAATATTGGGGTTCAAATATGAAAGTTAGCTATGATTTTCTAGTTGAACTAAATGCCAAATGCAGGTTGAATGCATTTGAAATCCTTGGTAGTCTTGACAGATTTTGCGTGTACAAAAACCACTGGCTAACTCAATTTCCTCACAGCTCTTTACCATTAAATATGATTTACTTGGCAAATTATATTTAATATTTGCTTTGCAGTGTTTTCCTTTTTGAAACATAATATGCTCGAAATCCAGTTAATCGAAATAGTAGCGCAAAAGCTGGAATTATGCAGACTCAAGCTTTGATATGTGATATAGGTGGGTATGCTGCTGCATGAAGTAATTTTTGCTTTTAGCGGCTGCATAATTCGTGTAATTTATTTGCTGTTTTGCAGGA